CCTCATATGACTTATATAAGGCTCACTGAAGCCCCTCTGTTACCTTGACAAGGCCAGACACAGACCCTCCAAATTTGTATTCTTTACCTCATAAGGTTACCTGAATTAGTTTGTCCCCACTGACTAATGAGAACAAATTTTTTTTTTTTTTTTTATCAGAATTTGGTCAAGTGTCTCTCCCCTTCTCTTCCCACCAGAATCCGGCCCCACCCTCCGGCCCAGCCAGTAGGACTTCAAGCCCTCCTGCCAACAGTCTTCATCCAGCTTCCCCACACCCAGTGTTTCCTGGATTTGTTCAGCCCTCTCTGAAAAATGAAGCCAGACTGCTGTAGTCTCCAACCACCTGCAGGTTTTGCAGTCAGAGCTCCTCCCTACAGCACTAGGCTCTCTCTGCACCCCACCCCCAACCAATCCTGCAATGATCCTTTGGGGGGGAAAAAAAAAGTCTCTTGCTAAGTCCTGGTCTGTTTTTACTTGATACTGTAAATGTGGCCTCCTGTTTCTTGGCTCCTGGTCAGAGCCTGCCCAGCTCATACTCCCATCTGCCTGAGATCAGCCCTGCTCACATCCCGTCCAGTCCAGTCTGAGCACATTTCTGGGAAGGACATCCTTTGTCTTTTGATGCTCAGCAACAAGAGTTTTGCAGCCTTGCTCTTCAGACATTGGAACAGAAGTAACATATCTCTGCACTCATTGCTGCTGCAACAATCTCTGGGTACCTTTTCCAGTCAGAAGATATTTTTTCTGCATCTCCAGTAGAAGATTCCTTTTTTCATTTCTTAGACAAACATTAGATATATTTTTTTTTCATAGAGGCATACACTTAAAATTAACCGTATATAGTATTGGGCCTCCTGTCATTTGTTTCAGATGGAGAATTAGATGATAATTTGTCACAGGGAAAAAGACTGAATGCTTCGTACAGAGCTGAAAATTATGAATTGATTCAAAAGATAGATTCTGGAACCTGGAATTCTCCACATTTTATTGCCAGGAGCTGTGATGAAAGTGTTTACTCTTTTGGAAATTATGTAATATTCTGTGTAAAGCTGCTCAAAAAGAATCTATGTTGTAAGATTGCTAGGGGAAGTCAGACAACATATTTCATATTTGTTTTCTCACTCAAAATGTTTTGTTGAATACTGCCCATGAGCCAGGGGCCAGGCCCGACACAGGAACACAGCAGTGAACAGATCAGAAGCTATCTGTCCCTCCCTCGTGGGGCTTGTTTTTTAGCAAGAGACAGAGGGGTTTAAAATAAGTAATCAACATTTCCTAAACTACAAATATGAAATTCTGCGGCTGCCAAGGACACCACCTGCCAAGGGACTACGAGTCAGGTAGGGTTGGAAGAAAGAGTATAAAGAGGGGCTCCAGTCGCTCAGGAACAAATAGTAAGGTGATAAAAAGAGTGATGGGCTGGTAAGGGAGCTGTGGAAGACAGGACTCCTGTGCCCAGGGACTTGATCTACTCTGTAGGTGTGGATAGAAGTCCATGAGCAATCAGCACAGTATTTTCCACAAACAAAGCACTTCATATTTATGAATTGAAGAAATGGCACTTCATGGACATGTCACAGGATATAATTTAATTCTGAAAAGTGGTCAAAGAGGGCTGAGGATTAATAATTTAAGGATTTAGAGGAGGGAGACATTCAGGCATTCCCTTGAGAGTTTTCACATTTGAATACTGCAATTTAGAATGATCTGTTATTTGCAGTTGGTTACTGAAACTGTTCAAAGATGAATAAAGGAAACTTTTATTGGGAGAAGGGAGTGGAAGAGAGAAGCCAAGTAAAAATCTAAAAAAAAAAAAAAAAAGTCTAAACACAAAATAAAATAAAGCCAAACAAATAAATCAAAGCTTGTGTTAGGCAGCTTTTTGTTGCTGTGACCAAAATACCTGATATTAGCAACCTAAAGGAGGGAAAATTTACTTTTGGCTCATGGTTCCAGTACCTGCTGCACTGGCTCTATTGCTTTGGCGGGAGGTGAGGCAGAATATCAGGGTGGAGGGTGGAAGCAAGCAGCTCACCTCAGGACAGCCAGGAAGAAGAGAGAAAGAGAGGAAGGGCTTCTAGGGCACACCCCAGTGACCTCTTTCCTCCAACTAGATCCCATCTCCTGCAGTTTCCACACCTCCCAATAATGCCATCAGCTACAGATCAACAAGCAGATCCATTCATGATCCAATCACCATGCAAGAGCTCTATCTCCAAGCTTTGTTGTATTGGGACCAAGCCCTTCAACACATAAGACTTGGGGATTCAAGTGTGGAACCATGATAAAATTCATGATCAAAAAATCATTCAAGTTGTATTTGCTCAAGGTATATTCAGTGCACATTTACTGAGGTTAGCATGTTAACCCACGGGGTTACACTGAGCACAAAACAGTCAAGATGCCTGGAATTTGGATCTGGTGGCAAAAGATATTCATTAAACAAATAACTAATGAAACAAAATAAGTTCAGGGAGTGTGAAATGCCAGAATTTTGATAATTCTAATATAAAAAGGTAGATTTGAAACATATGTGCCACTCATTCCTTCAATGAATTCTCTGAGATAATCTCTAGTTAGTTTGGGGATCTCTGATGCATTTTTTTTTTCTGATTTTCCCTACCAGGCAACAAAAGACATAGCCTGAGTGGGATACATATCATCTTCCTTTAAAAGCTCCATAAACTACCTCTTAAAGTCAACCCCAGGGAACATGCAACCTAAATAAAATGGGTAATTGGCTCACAGCATAGTCTCCCAATCGCTGCTTCACTGATGGTGACTTCTTGTTTATTTTTTTTTAATTTTTATTTTTTCAGTTGTAGATGAACAAAAAACTTCATTTTATTTATTGATTTGTATCGAACCCAGTGCCTCACAGGTGCTAGGCAAGCGCTCAACCACTGAACCACAACCCCAGCCCATTCTTGCTTGGTTTTTATGGTAGAATGGGTGAACAGGCTCCTTGGGCTCTTTTATTAGGATACCGCTGTGGTTTGAATGTATATGTCCCTTCACAATTCACCTGTGGAAACTCAATACCCAAAGATGGTGTTACAAGTGGAGGCTTTTGAGAAGTGGTTGAGTTGTAAGTGCTCTGAGTTCACCAATGGAACTGGCACTTTTTATGAGATGCATTGAAAGGAGCGAGGTAGTCACTTTCCCCTGAGGTTACATCAATAAGCCATCACCTTGGAAGCAGCAAGAGAGCCCTTAATACACAAGGAGCTGCTGCTGACTTGGATTTCCTAGCCCCTGGGGTTGTGAGAAATAATTTTCGGTTACTTATAAGCTACTTGTTTTTTTACTGCTTTGCTATAGCAGTCTGTTAGCTTTGTGTTACTGTGATAAAAGTATCTGGCATAAGTAACTTAAAAGGAGCAAAGGTTTATTTTGGCTCACAGTTTCAAAGGTTTTGGTCCACCTACACTTCTCTCTATTGGTTCTGGCCTGTGGTGAGGAAGAACATAATAGAGGGAAGCAAATGTAGAGCAAAGCTGCTCACCTCATTGTGTTTGGAGAGTAAACAAAGGAGAGAATGAGAAGAAGGGATCAGTGATCTACTTCCTCCATGAGGTCCTCCTGTAGTTTCCATCACTCCGCTGTAGCCATTACGGTGTGAATTCATAAATGGGTTAATTCAGTGATGAGTTCAGAGCCCTCGTGACTGAATCATGTCCCGAGCCCCCACCTCTGAACATTGGGGCCCTGGGGACTAAGCCTTCCACACATGGGCTTTTGGGGGACATTTAAGTTCTAAACTGTAACACAGTGCAGATGGATTAAGACATTACTCTTCTTTTTCATGTTTTCTTGAAAATTCTCAGTTATGTAATCCTTCATATAAAACTTAAAATTATTTAGTTTGTTATAACATGTGCATTCCCAAGAGAATTTGGGGCTTTCATGAAAACTGCATTAATTTTCTAATTTGACTTAGAAGGAATTGGCATGTTTTTGATACTGACTCCACAATTGAGAAAATAGCGTGTGTTTTCCATTTATTCTGTCTTTCAGCCAAGGTTCATCACAAAGACTTTGTAACTTGGTAAAGTTTATTCCCAAGTATTTTATGGATTTTGTTGCCATTGTGTAGAAAACCTTAATATTTCATTTTTAATAGGCTACTGGTTGCTCAAAGTAAAGTTTTGATTTTTCTTCCACTTACCTGGAGTGAAGTCTTTTACTGAACTAAGTTTTAACATTGAGGCACCCAGATTTCCAACATTTCCTAGCATCTGCAAATAATGACCTACAAATGATGACATTGTCTTTTTTGGTGGGGATAAGGGTGGGGTGGGTTGACAGTGACAGTGCTGTACCGCAGAATAACATGGCTTTTCTTGGCCAGGGCTCAGTTGGTCTTAGTTATGTGTAGTCTTTGCACCACCTACCTAGGAACATGTCACTGCTCTGCCATCTAATAAGTGTGTGACCTTGGGCAACTTTTTAACCTCTATAGACTTCAGGGTCCCCATCTACAAAATAGGAATAACAGTAGTACTTAATTCAGAAATTAAAGAATTAAAGAATTAAGCACTAGTTTAAAAAGCATTTGGAATGCACATTAAGTCTTACGTCAGGTATTAGCATACACTAATCAAAACCCTACTGCATAATTTATCTCCTGTAAGCTTCAGAACCAGGTCAGAAAGTGTGTCAAAGTGCATTTTGCAAACAGGGAAACAAGCAGCAAGAGTGGAGTGATCTGCCAAAGGTCACTCTATACAATGGAGTGATCTGCTCCTAGAAAATAATCCAATCAATCAACTCCTGTCACGGCGTGGCTTAGATCGTATTAAAACGTTGATCCATTCTACCTTGCGTGGCATTTTACTAGAAAAACGAAAAGTACACTGACGCAAAGGCGGCAGGCTCCGGCCTTGAGTTCGTAGGCTTCCGCCAGGAGTGGCGAAATGGGCCGAGTGCGCTCGGAAACGCTCGCCAGTCCTCGGCCACAATCGTCAGGCAGCGGGGCTCACGCTCCGGCACGTTTCGCGCAGGGCATTGTGGGAAAGGCGGCCGGTGCAGCCGCAGCTGCCATCTTAGAGACTCCTTGCGTTGCGGCCTTCTCGTTGGAGGCGGCCTTCGTGGTGACTGTAGACCTCGAGGAGAGGAAGAAAGTCGGCGAGTGGACAGCCGTCGTTCCTCCGGCCTCCACAGGACTGTCAGCCCGCGTCCGAAGGCGGAGGCGAGGGGAGCCAGGCGCGTGCGGGGCCCGAGGCCAGCGGTTAGTCAGAGCGGCGCCCGGAAGGATGGGCCGGTCCCGGAGCCGGAGCTCGTCCCGTTCCAAGCACACCAAGAGCAGCAAGCACAACAAGAAGCGCAGCCGGTCGCGGTCGCGGTCGCGGGACAAGGAGCGCGTGCGCAAGCGTTCCAAGTCCCGGGAAAGTAAACGGAACCGGCGGCGGGAGTCGCGGTCCCGCTCGCGCTCCACCAATACGGCCGTGTCCCGGCGCGAGCGGGACCGGGAGCGCGCCTCGTCCCCGCCCGACCGCATCGACATCTTCGGGCGCACGGTGAGCAAGCGCAGCAGCCTGGACGAGAAGCAGAAGCGGGAGGAGGAGGAGAAGAAAGCGGAGTTCGAGAGGCAGCGAAAAATGTGAGTGCCGCGGGGGGAAGGGCCGGAGAGTGGGGGTGCGGGCCGGGAGTGGGGGCGCTGGCCCGGAGTGGGGTCTTGCGCTGGGCAAACGGCGGGGATGGGGCTGCGGGGTGGGCGCACCGGGAAGGTGGGGGCCGCTGCGGGGTGGGCAGACTGGGAGAGTGGGGGCTGCGGGGTGGGTAGGCTAGGAGAGCCGTGGGCGCTGCGAGGTGTGAAGACCGGGAGAGAGCGGGCTGCGGGACAGGCAGACGGGGAGAGAGGGGGCTGCGGGGTGGGTAGACGAGGAGAGTGGGGGGCTGCGGGTGAGTAGGCGCAGAGAGTGGGGGCGCTGTCGGGTGGGTAAACCGGGAGACTGGGGGCTGCGGGCTTCGTGGGCGCGGGAGAGTGGGGGCGCTGCGGGGTGGGTAGGCAGGAAGAGTGGGGGCGCGGGGCTGGGAGAAATGCAGGAAGGGTGCAAGCACCCGCCTGGGGGAACACGTGGTTTGAAACCCTTAAGTGGAAAGACCCACGAGGTGGCTGGGATGTAAAATCGTGGTGCTAGAGGGGAGAAAGCGATTTTGGCGCGCGGAGTGGAGAGTCCCGGAAGTAGGGGTGGAGTTCAGAAAGAGGTCTGAGCGCTGCGCTGGCGGGTAAGGCGGGGATTCGGTTAGCCTAAAGGTGCGGATGGTCAGCTTTTGCAGGTCCGCTTGTGAAGGGTATGGAAAGGAATTAACCCGTGGGGTATAAATTGCAGCTTGCCAGAAGCATCTTTTTTTGAAGCTTAGATTGAGGACAGGGTTTAAGACACTTGAAGTGGTTCATCAAAAAACAAAGAAAACCCCCACATTTTTGGCTTAGTGTGTTTAAAGGTGTGGCCTTTGCTTTATATCCCTCTCTGGTCTTTTATCCCTCTTTTTTTTTTTTTAAACAAATAAAAATCAAAATGCATACCTTAGTCGACTTTGATATTTGATTTCACCTATGTAACCATCATTCTATACAAAGTCTATTCCTTCATATACTCCAATGAGTATGTGTAGTTCTCTTTTTCCCCCTTGTAGTATACTTGTTTAGAATACGTTTAAGTATTTGTCTTTATTTTTGCCTTGCTCACATACAGAATTTTTATGTAGGGAAAATCAGTTACAGTAAGGGTTCTTATTTGAAATTCTGTTTGGGTAAAATCATGTGGATCTGAAAAGGAATCACCTCTCAAGTGTCTTTGGATATAAGAGTAGATGAGTAAATGTGGATAAACCACACTAAGTGAATGTCTGGTTTTAAAATATAGTTTTGTGTAGGTCAGATGTTGGATACCTGTAATCCCAGCTACTAGGGCAGGGAAATCTCTTGTTTCAGGCAACAAAGGAAAGCCCTTTTTTCAAACAAAAATGTAGAGTTGTTTTTTACTTTTAAGATCATGTTACTTAGATGTTCTGGATTCCCCAAACTCACAGTAGGGAAGTAGAGTTTAACAGATATACTAACTCCCTATTTAACCAGTACTCATGAGGCAGGAATATTAGTAAATTATGATCTTCCTGCAAGGATTTTATGTATACATTATTGTCTAGGGGTTTTACAGTTTTCTGCAGTTAGGTTTGTATAATGTAGACTTTCCAGCACACCTTGTTTCTAAAAGCAAAGTTATTAGGAGGTATGGAAATATATCATAAATAATACTAGAGAGAAAGTTTACTAATTTGCTGTCTACATTTCTTTAAAGCTTATGCAGTTGTTCCACTTCTATACTTGGAGCTGTTGATGATGCATATGAAAACATGTAAAATCCAGCTTTTGGATCTGGAAAAAGATCCTTAGCCAAAAAGATAAAGCTATCAACAGGATATATAAGAAATTACCTAAGACATCATTGATAATTTTTCCATGTGAAATAACTACTTGCCTTTCACTAGGAAATTAAAACTTAAAGGAAAAATGAAAGGAAATTTGATATATAAAGAATAATTAGAAACATTTAGAAGCTACATGTGGATAGCAGAGAAGAGATCCAGGGATGAGATGATAGGAAACAGAATTGGTATATGGTTCTAGGTTGAGAGAGAGAAACTGCCATTCATGTTTACAAGGGGAAAGAGGTAGGAACAGTAGCCACTTGAACCTTAAATTCCTGTGTGCTGTATAGACTTTACTTAATGTGGTCTAATGCCTTAGAAATAATGCAAAGAAAAGTCTGGAAAGACAGGTGTTAGAGCTTTGGAAACAGGAGCAAGTAGTTGTTTACAAATCCCTGTTTGTTAGTTCATTCAGTTAGTATTTACAAAGACTTTAGTAGGTGGCAGGCACTGTGCTAGGCAATATTAATATAAAGGTGATTGGTCTCTTCTAAGATTTTGATGGCTAATTCAAGGACAGGTAATTGATACAACTGTATAAAGGAAGCATCCTGGTGGGTAAACACCTTAGTTGTCCTAAAGAATGAATTAAGGGTATAGGAGGAAAAACTGTCATGCTGGGTATAGAGTATATGTGGACCAAAGGAGAAAGCCTCCTTCACCACCCCTGTCACAATAAGGAGCTTGAAAGGCAGTGGTCTTAGAGTGGACCAGATATTTTTGGCTACAACAAGAAGTTCTTTAAGTACTACAGTGATACAGTGACTGAAGATGTAAACAGGCTGGAAATTAAGGAAGGGTTCTTATATGCCATATTAAGAAATTTGGTTTCATTCTAGAAACAGGAAAGGTTTTGAGGAGGTAAATGGCACCCCCCCCCCCCCCCATTCTAAACAGATCATGAATAGTTCTATAAGATGGAAACAAGTTATGAGGAAGGAGGATACAGTAAACTGAGGCAAGAATAGTACAGTTACTAGAAAGGAAAAGAAGGACCAATTTAAGAAACATGGGATATAAAATTGGATCTCAGACCTAAAGAAAAGAACATTATTAGTTTTTATTTATAGTGTGGCTATTGTAATTTATCCAGAAACTTGCTGAACAGTGGCTAAGGAAGAGGGAAAAGCAGGAGTTTCCACTTGGCACTCCACTGTGGGCCATAGTTTTAGGTATTCTGAACTTGCTTAAATTAATAATGGTGGACTGAAGCCTAAGGAAAGGGGGCTTTACTTGTATCATTAAAATCCTGAGAGTTTATGAAACGACCAAGGCAGAGTATAAGGAGAGAAGAGCAGTTGGTTAAAGGGACTGAATGAAAAGCTCAGGTTGAAAGCAGAGCAGATACTAGAACAATGCAGAGTATCTTGTGTGTTCAAGAATTCTCAGATTAGATGGAAACAGTAAAATAAGATCCATTTGCTGAGTTTAACCAATTAGGAATTCTGTGTAGTCCCAGAGGAGATGAGATTGCTTTGCTTCTTAATCTTTTAAGACCTTAAACAAATCATCTCTGAGATTTTTTTTTGTCTGTGAAATGGAGATACCTGTCCTATTATGAAAATTGAAGGTATATCTAAATTATCTAGATGGTGTTTGGCATATAATGGGTCTCAGTGTTATTTAACATAACTTCTATACTGTCAGAGCCTGCTGAGTTTAAAAAGTGATCTTGTGAGTTATAATCTTAATGCAGTAAAAGGTAAGCCTTTAAGTTATTTCCTCACTTTGAATAGCTAATTCACATGATTCAAAATTAGATTCAGAAAGTTATCATGTCTGTGTCTCCCATCCATTCATGAATTGCTCTTACCCCTCCAGTAGACTGGTATTACCATTTTTTAACTTTTTTTTTTTTTTTAAGAGATGCTATATATGTGTTGTATTAATTGCTAAAATAAATAGACAGTTGAAAATGTCTTGTAGCAAATCAGGAAAATGTTAATGGTGTGATGTGCCAAAGCTTGAATATTCTACTGTTGAACTAGGGTTTCTGTGATTCTCACACAGTACTTGAAGAGCTCATTGTGAAAGCAAACTTGGTATGTGGAACAGTGCATTCTTGGAGGTTGGTGCTTTGAGACAATAAGAGAGCTTAAAGACCTAGCTGGTATTTGTGGCTAGTTGTTTTGGTAGTTACTTCATATCTTTTCCTCTCACATTTATTCTGGAGAGACTGTGTAGGATAGTAAAGTACTTAAGTTCCTTAGCTTTGAAGTCTACCAAAGTTCATATTCACAGTTTAGCAGCACCCATTAAGCCTGAGTACAGAAATTTAACTTATTAGCTTCAGTCAATAATTCATACATTGTAGGAACATATCTGAGATTTAAGTGGTGACATGCTATACTGAGCTTTTAGGATAGTGATTTGGACCTTTTAACTGCAATTGGCTAATAATTTTTAACCAGTTCCTGGAAATAAGCCTCTAGGATTGAGTTCATACATTTTAAAGACATCGTAAAATAGTAGTGACATTTGCTCTGTGCCAAGTTATACTCTCATTTGACAGTTGTGAAATGTTGTGCCCTTGCTGTTTTGTTACCATTTTAAAGTTGATTGTGACTAGTGTATTTAAAATACCAGAACACATAGAAGAAGTAGGGTCCAGGTAATAATACCATTTCCATTGAAAAACTTGAAGATTTTGATTTAACCTTTCATTAGCACATATTTTTGGCAAGCAAATGGATTGATCAGAGAAGTATAAGGAATAGATTAGAGAAAATAATATGATGTTGACAACTCCTATAGCAAATGTTTTATGGACTGGCTATTAGATATCATATCTTTTTAAAAAGACCAGTAAGTAGTGTTTTGATCTTCAAGAAAGTTCCATTGCCTCTTATGGGAGTTAGCTTAACAGTGGTCTTATTGATTATGGTGATAAATTTGCCATCAATGAAGATGAATTTATGCATAATTCAATTGTATATGTGCCTGTATGTGTACAGGAGGAGAATGAAGTGGTATTGAACTCTAAACCTTAATTTTTAATACTGGTTCAAAAAATTGATTTAAATTTTTTTCCCCGAATTCTAGAATAGCATATTTAATCTTACCAAGAATACCAACAAAAGTTATATTCTTGTAATACTCCAAGAGGAACAGTTCTGCTGTGGTGCCCAGACCTTGCTGGTCTTCACTTAGAGACACATCAGTAAGGCTTACTGCACTCATGGTGGAATACTCTGTAGTTCCTCCAGGAGCAAAGGGAGATAAAGCAGCTTTGTGAGACTGCAGGAGGATGTTTCACACCCTCCACTGTTTCAGTTGAGCTTGGGACTTTCCATTTGCCCACCCCTTTGGGCTATAAAACCATTGAGCTGTGCTTAGACTTGACTTAGCAATAGAGAAACTCACCTTCTGTCCTCTGGCCCCTCTGGTTTGGTGTGATCAAGTGGGAGTAGAGACACAGGGAGCTGACACCATGCTGATTTAATTTTTGCTGTGAAGAATAACCTGAATATTTTTGGCTCATTTTGTCCTTAATGATCAAGTGTATGGAAATGTGGCCCAGTTAGCCACTGTGTTAGTGCTTAGGGATGGCATAACTTCCTGAGAAAACCCCTGAATATGTAAGTATAAGGTCTTTTCCAATTTTATCTATATTCCTAAATTGGGAACTTTTCTACTCTTGAGCTAATTTAAAGCCTTATACTGTTTTCCTTCCTTTCCACTTTGTATAGAAAGTTTAATTGAAACTCTTACGATATCCTTTTGAATAGTCAGTACTGAGTTCTACTTAACATTGATAATTAAGAATTGCATTGTATTGAAATTTTAAATATCAAGTTTCTTTTTAGGCCTCTACATTTAATAATTACATAATAATCAATTAGCAAATGTGTGTGTGCATTTATAAAACTAATGAAAAGTTGGCATATATAAAAGTAGAATATTGTTATCCTTATAAACCCATACCCAGATTCAGCAGTTGTCAGCCTTACTTGTTTTATTTTTTGTTATTTCTTTCCTTCCCTTTGGATGAAATAGAGACGACATTTTATATTAAAATTGTCATTTAATTTCCATTGAATTGAAATTACTAATTCTTTTAATGGTCTTGGCAGTTCCTATTAGGTAGTGTCACAGAAAGTACATGCTCTTATTGAACTGCTGTATATAAAAAGGCTTATTGTAATTACCACTATCTTGTATTTGATGGGAAGTTAAGGAAAAGGAGAGAAGCATAGTTATTCCTACGCTTTCATATCTTTTTTTAAAATTTAGGAGATGTTTATGAAATGGAGTCCTCAGTATGGGTTCTGCAAATATCTAGGACCTTAAAGGAAAAGAAACTTTCTCTAGTACCTCCTATTTTTTTGATGGAGAAGAGAAATGACGAAACTGAAATGAAGCAAAATGTTGAAGACAGTTTTAGTATTAGTGTGGTGTCACTAAATAAGTGACAGAAGTTGAGAATGAAAACCTATTGGGTGGGAATTGAATCACTCCCAAGAATAGAATTAAGTTGGAGTGGATTGAGGTATTTAAAGGTCACATTGAAACTAGAGTCTTTACTAAATTTATGAATTGAATGACTGTTTCATACATAGGTATGTCAAATGAGTCACCAAAAGATATAAAAGTTGCAGGTTTTATTTAATTTGGATTGTGAGAAAGTTGAAGTGTTAATAAATTGTTCTCTTAGGATGTAGATACTTAGAGTACTCCAAGAGCCTCTGAATTCATTAGTTAAGCACAAATATTGCCTCAGTATGCTATTCACTAGTAATATATGAGCAAAATAGGCAATTTATAGTGTTCTAGTAGCCATGTTAAAAAGAAACCATAATTAATTTTAATATATTCTTAGTCTGTCAAATTTTTATTAGATCTTTTATGTTTTTCTTAATACTAATCTTCAATTTAGACTAGATGCATGTGACTAGAGGCAAGCATTGGTATAAATTTTGTAAGATTTCCATGATAATACCTTGATAAATGTTAGTATTTTCAGCACAGATTTTATTTTGAATAAACAAGCTGGTTTATAATAGAATGGAATTTAAATAAAACAAAAATATCATTCTTCATTGAACTTTATATTTTCATCTTTCTACTTTTCCTATTACTGGAGGAGCTTTTCCTTGAAGATCAGTGAAATTTTTGGAAGAAAAGGCACAGTAGAAAAAAGTTGAGAAATTCAGTGATCTATATTTTCAGTGGAAGGTTCACAGTTCTGTTAACTTCAGTCAAATCTCTTTAAGTCTGTTTGTTCTGTCTTTGCTTAAGGAGAAGGGGCAAATGAATTGAGCCAGTCTAAATTCCCCGCTGCGTAATAGATTCTCTTGCTTTTCTGTAGCTCAGCTGTTCTGTTGAGTTGGTTGGCAAATGAGCAAATACATATATTTTTAACAGCTTATCCTCTTATTATAAATTTAATAACAGAAATATATTTCTTAACACCTTAATATATTTAATTAATATATTTAACATTTCCCCATATGTGACATGAAATGAATTGTAAAGTCATTAAATATGTAAAATCAAGCTGATGTGATTGAGACTTAAAATTAGTGTTTTTAAAATATCAAAATAATTTTTTTCCACTTTGTTTCATAGTCGACAACAGGAAATAGAAGAAAAACTCATCGAGGAAGAAACAGCACGAAGAGTGGAAGAATTGGTGGCAAAAAGGGTAGAAGAAGAATTAGAGAAAAGGAAGGATGAAATTGAGCGAGAAGTACTCCGAAGGGTGGAGGAAGCCAAGCGCATCATGGAAAAGCAGTTGCTCGAAGAACTCGAGCGACAGAGACAAGCTGAGCTTGCAGCACAAAAAGCTAGAGAGGTAACGCTCGGTCGTTTGGAAAGTAGAGACAGTCCATGGCAAAACTTTCAGTGTCCGGTTGTGCCTCCTGCTCAGTTCAGAAAGAGATGGAATACAGACTATCTAATTCCTTTCTCATCTAAACTTACATTGCTGCGAAAGTTAATTTTTTAGCCTATTCAGAAGTGCTGACTGATACTTAAAAGTTACTTTCATAAAACTTATTCAAGGATACTTTTTGATTTAATGGAACTGGCTTATATATTTGAGAAGTGTTTGAAACTTTTGCCATGGCTGCAGGACTTACATTCTTTTGGGCGGGTGGGGGGAGACAGGAAGTGGTAAAGGGAAAAGGTTAAAAAGCCACCTGTGGTTGTATATTCTTTTCTGTTTATCACTCTACTACCTAGACTGTGAGAGGCTTTTTGCCTTCAGTCAGATTAAAAAGAGCAGGGCCTAACATTGAGTGACAGCACCTGCTTTTGATAAATAGGTTTTCTCACTCTTCTTTTTCCCTTCTTTTATTCCTCCCCCTCCCCCAAATCCTGCTTCAGCACAATGGACTAATTCTAGCATTCTGATCATAAGGCCCTCCATTTTCCTAATGTGTTTCAAGGAATCTTTTTAGGAAAAATGTCCAGAATATTCATCCACTTTTTTAGTATCTACTAACAACTCCTTTTTTTCTCTAGAGAGTTATGAAGGAACAGGTTGTCCTTGTCTGGAGTCAAGCTAAACACATGATTTGTTTTATCAGCAGCTGGAGCAGAAGTTGAAAATGTCTTTCTGTGAGACAGTAATTTGCTACTGAAGCTTTATGGCTTGTTTGCACTGATTACTCCAGGATCCTAAACTTGGTGAAAGACACTGGGACACTCAGGGTTAATTACTTCACAGCACTGAGTGTCACCCATCAAAATAGTTTGTGTTAACAAACATGAATCCCATTGGTGTGATGTAGGAAATCCTGTAGTCATATTTTCTTGAACTGAAATATTTGACTTAAAATATGGCTCATTGTTATTTTTCATGTGGGCATGGTTGTGGACAAGTTGATGCAGTATCAAATCTCTTTGCTTTCCAGTAAGCTTAGCTTATAACATGCGTTTTTCTCTTGTCCTGTCTTTAGATATACATGTCTATATTTATACTGGATTTCACAGACTATAAAATTGAACGTATGAAATTTGCAATGATACCAGTGCTTTTAATAATGATATTTTTGGAGTAATTGTGCTATCTTGTAGCGAGTTATTAATCATAGTAAAGATTTTTTTCTCTTCATTTGCTTTTTGTTTCATATTAACAATTTTTTTTTTACACGGACACAACCCTGACAGTCTTTTCAAATATTAAAATCATTTGAATATGTATGCTGTGATCTGAACACTGCCCAAATCATCAAGCAGTCTTCATATAGTTTGCATTATAAAATTTCATTAAATTCTCCAAGCAAAAATAAATTGCAGAATTTTATTTCCTAACCATGCATCCCCTGGATTCCTGAATTTCAGTTCAGACTGTAGATGACAATATAAGCTGCCTTTAGAAATTGTCAACATCTGAATGTTAAGTCCATTTTCCCCATGGAAGAAGCCCTTAGTTCCATGAAGTATGGATTACCATTTGTATTTTTCACTAACAGTAAATGTATTTTTCTTATTAATTGTTTGCCTTAGGAATGATGAATTACATTTTTTTGTTCCTTCTTACCATAAACATCTGCATTCCTCAGCTCAGCCTTCCTTGTATGTTGTTTCTTTATAAATGGTTGAGCTGCTGATGCAGGTATTGCCAAGCTAACAGTACAAATCATTTTAAAGAGGAAGCTGGCGCGTATGGCAGCCGAGGAGCACACTCTGCAGGACACTGGACAAGACAGTAAATATTCAACTTTTAATGCTGATTAAAGGAGTATAGGTAAAGAATACGTAGGTATACATAATTGGTGAGACAAATATTCACTTTATTTATATTTTATATATTATTTTTTAATTTGGTAAATACTATCCAGTTTGTAGTTGTCCTTGTTGATTTGTGTGATATTAAAATATTAGTAATAATTGCCAGGAAACTATCATTAGGGAGGGTTTAGTCGGTTGCTGTTTGGACTGGGAGGGATGATTTAAATTTAGTGCTAGAAACCAATTTTAGTGGCTGCACAGTTTATCATTTGTCAGACAGAAGGTAGCTATAAAGCTACCCAGTAAGTCAGATCAAAAAAGTTCAGAGGAAGATTAGTAAATATTTATCAATAAAAATAAACATTTTATTTTTCTAATATCTTAACATGTCCTCCCCTTTAGGAGGAAGAACGTGCAAAACGTGAGGAGCTAGAGCGAATACTAGAAGAGAATAACCGAAAAATTGCAGAAGCACAAGCCAAACTGGTAAGTTTAAATAAAGCATTTGTGAGAAGTATTTTGCATTTGCCTTTTCTTTTTAACAAATTTTGTGGAATGATTTTATGCTTTATAATTTCACTTATTTGCTGGGGACGCTCAGAGCTACTCTAATGCTTTAAAGCAGGAGTGTGAATAGTTGACTAGATTCTTAGTCTGGAGAAGACTCCAAAATTTTCAGGGGTTTAAAACAGGTTTCATGGAGAAGTTCTACTTTCACCCCTCCCCAGTTTTTATCCATCCTAAGCCCATTCACATTTCTTTTATGCCTAAAAACACTAACACCAAAATCTTGGAGTTGTTTAAACCAACTGATGTTTAGCATTTTGTTTTGGGCTACGAGGCAGAATAGAGTATATATTTGAGCCAAGTATATGAAGATAATAAAATTCTTTTTTTTTTCTTTTTCCTATTCCTAGTTTATAATCTAACCACAGAGACTTAAGTAATTATGATAATGAGAGCTATAAAAGTAGTAAAGAGCAATTTTAAATTGCAGTAAAGAAACCAATGTAAAAAACATTAAGCAAATTTTTAAAATCAAATTATTTATTCTAATTTGTTATACATGATGGCAGAATACAATTCATTCCGTATTACACTTATAGAGCACAATTTTTCAAGTTACTGATTGTACACAAAGTATTTTCACACCATTCGGGTCTTCATACATGTATTTAGGGTAATAATGTCTAACTTATTTCACCATCATTCCTATCCCCTAGCCCCCTCATTTTTCTTTCTTCCCCTTTGCCCTATCTAAAATTCCTCCATTCCTCCCATGCCTCTGCCCCGCATAACCATTATGAGTCAGCATCCCATTGAGTAAATGTTTTAAAAGGAAGAAACTATATCACTTCTATTTTCCTTCCAAGGTTTTTTTTTTTTTTAATGTTTACCAACATTTTTGAAGTTGAATAAAGATTTTGAAGTAGCCTCAGTCTGAGGAAGAAGAAAGCTAGAATTCAAGGACTATGGATATGAGTATTCCAAAACACACAAAGGGAAATAGGTACTTTGAGGAAAGACTTTTATCCACCATGAAGGTGGTATATACAGGAAGACTACTTCAAAGTAAGAATATAAGAAGAGATTGAAGGACATTTACCTAAGATGGTAGAGGGAGGTGATTAGTGGTGGTGATTTAATGCCCAGGAGTAAAGACAGGACCCAGGAGGAACTCTTGGCTTTGGGGAGAAATATAGAAAAGATTGTTAAGTTAGAAATGTATTGAGAATAAAAGGGCCCAAACAATGATATTTGTTGCTGAGTCATATTGTTGACTGGAGGTGGGGAGGCATGGCTAGTCTGTAAGCTTCAGTTCCCCTTTTTTGTGTGTGAAGTATGAGCCCAGGGGCACTCAGACACTGAGTTACACCCCATACTTTTTTAAAGTTATGCGATAGGGTCCTACTAAGTTGCTCAGGCTGGCCTTAAACTTGCATTTCTCCTGAGTAGCTGGGATTGTAGGAATGTGCCACTGTTCCTGGCTTATTTTTATTAAAAAAATAATCTTTGTGTTGACGAGTTCACAATAAAAGATCTCAAGAAGAGTCTAATTGATAATGGAGCCTACTTAGGGTGAAAGAGAACTTTATTATCCTATAGTTCACAAGGGTCTGAAACGTTAATATGGGATAGTTGGTTCAAAAGCATAACTTTAAAAAAAAAATAGAGTGCCCCAGATAAAGATGATACTGGAAATAAGCTAGGTGACTTAGCATCTTGACAATTATCACTGTCTTGCTTATTTTGAAGGCCATAATGAAATCTGTATTAGAAAGCCTTAATCCTACTTTCCCAGTGAAATACTTTGAAATCTGCTTAGGTAGAAGAAAAGGATATGAATATGAGATGTATGATAAATCATAGAATTTATCATTTTTACAAATATGTGATAATGCTTCTTTACTGATTCCATTTAAGGAGAGAATCTCTGTACACATGCGGAAGTAAGAGGGAGTTTTGAGTTTTATTTTATTTTTTTTGTATCAGGGATTGAACTCACGACAACTCAATCACTGAGACACATTCTACCCCTTTTTATTTCTTCAGATTTTGAGTTGCTTACTGAGTTGCTTAGTGCCTCGCTAAGTTGCTGAGGCTGTCTTTGAACTCAAATTCCTCCTGCCTCAGCCTCCTGAGCAGCTAGGATTACAAGTGGGCCATGTGGAGCCTGGCAGACCTTGAGTTTTAAAGTGTCAGCTTTAAAGAGTAAACACAGTCTGCTTTGGGAGGCATGGACATTCTAAAAGAGAAGAAAAATATGATTGATTTTTAGAAAATTGAAACAAAGTAACCAAGCAGTTGAAACTAGAATTCCTCGTAAGATATGCTGAAGAGATAGGATAGCTGTGGTAGGTTTGATTTGTGGATGGCATGGAAATTCCTCACCTAAGTCTGACATGCCAAGATCTTGATCCCTCCTGACCCTGGGGTGGTTAGGGACAGCTTAGCCTCTTTTGTCTCTTCAGCAACTCTTCTTGTTTACTCATATGAACCATAAAAATACGAACTTTTGTTTATTATTACTGGGAACAGATTGGTAACTGTATTGTAGAGGAGTACTTTTCAAGTGGTAATAGATGGCTAGTTCTGTGTTTTTAATCCCATTTCATTTAAGACTTCTACTTTTAAAAAATACAGTTCGGAGAATTGCTAGAAAGATGAAAGTCCTCTAAAATACTTACTGTTGGTTTCTATTTGTGATCTGATTAATTTGCAGACTATTGGGCTGCGGGCCACTTAGCACCAGGACTGTTCTAGAGGGCATAGATTTATGTTTGAGCTGGTCAACTGTAGGGAGTGTTATTATTCTGATGACATTTTTTTTCACTAAAATGCTGTGGAAAGATACCATGGGGGAAAGAGGTTTGAATTTTAGAAAAGTTGATAAGAATTCAGATATACTTAACACATGCTTGCTGTGGTAAGTTAGAAGCATAGGAAGCTGTTGATGTTGTAGCAGTTTTTTAAAAAATTTCTATTGGTAGTCATATTGGCAGGGAAAGTAGGATGTACTTTGTATAAAATTATTGCTGTATAGATGGTGGCATAGAACACATGGAGATTTCTTTCGTTTTTATTGGACTTTTCCGTAAGGGAAAAAGCACTGTGCTTTAATTTTATACTTTTTTTTTTTTAGGAAATATAATGCAAAATTCATTGAGAATCCCATTGAAATAACCTGGTTTTTGTGAAAGGAAGGAGATGTAATAGCATGTTATAGATACCATAGGGGAATTTCCTCAGTATATTAGCAGTGGCAGTTCATCTGATCAAACCAGCATTTGCGATTGTTTTGTGACTTCATGAGTACACAAAAAGTGTGGGCAGTTTGTTGTTCTGTGTGCTATGTAAAGCAAAAAGATAGGAAGCATTCTGGTCATAAGAAAATGAGGGGCAAGCAGTTGTGGCCTCAGGAGCTATTTACTAAAATTGTTTTTGAGAAGCATTTTGGTTTTAAAGTTGACAAGGAATTCATTTCCTCTAAGTAATTTAATGTATTTATTGCAGAGACAAGGCCAACTCCAAGAAAAGTTAACTAAATTAATATGGAAATATTTGGTAGGTGGTGTCAGTGATGTGAGATGATTGATCGACTTGTCATGGTGGGAGGCTTGAAAAACCTTTCTAGAAAAGGTACCCCTTGTGCTCAGCCTGGATAGATAAAATTGGAAGTAGGAGGCAGTGAGGAAATGAAGCAGGGCAAAGGCCTTTTGAGCAGAAATAATAGGACAAACACAAGAGCAGGTGAAATGGAATCTCCTGGGATCCTGGGGGGAAAGGTAAGTATGTTAAAGCAATGTTAAGTACGATTTTGAAAGCAGATTAAAGAAAATACTCTGGGAGGGGGGAGGAGTTTTTTTTTAAAACATCGTAACAGTGAAGACATAAAAGCAGTGATATTTTACAAATGGGAAGAGAAGGCCAACTTTCTAATTACAGCTCACAATAATTGACAAACATTAAAGAGATTATTTATACAAGTACAATAAAAAAAAGGCTATAAAAATTTCAGAAAATAGGGAAGCAAAGGATTGCCCCTCTCTTTTTTGTTTTTCTGTAATAGCAAGTCCCAAATTGGAAAAGCTTTTGGAAAAGCTGTGGCAGTATCCTGTGTTGGTAAGGATATAGTGTAAGGAGTGTCCTTTATGTGATTATTTTGGGAATTTAAATGGAAATACAATTTCCCAAAATACTTAACAGTAAATTAGTAAATATCAAATTCTTCTAAGAACGTGAAAATGGATCCTAAAAATAAACTGACATATAAAATCAATTATAATTTATAAAATAAAGTTACACAAAAATAAAATTTTCCCCAGATTATTTAAAATAGTAAAACATTCCAGGTTATTAGCAAAATTATAATCAGTGAATTATTCTGTAATCAAAAAATATTTGATGCAGGGGAAATAGGAAATAGCCAAATAGGAAACTTACATCTATAATATACTATTATTTTGAAAAAAGTATATTTGTACATTTTAAGACACAGAAATATATATGCTAGAGTGCTTCCCAATAGTTTTCAGTTTCTGCATATTCTACAAGTAATCTATATCACTTTCATGATCACACAAAATTAGGAAAACAGTTAACAAGCCACACTTTTGACCAGCTTTTCAATAGACCCTTCTGATAAAAAAACTGGGCCCAGGGATGACAGTAATGTGTTACGCTTATCAACGTATATATGAAGATCAATATTAAGTGCTCTAGTCAAGGGTAGTTTTTTAAATTCATTTTAGTTTCAAATTCTCTATCAAGATATTTGCTTTGTCTATCCATAAAAAATAAAATTTCAACTGATACACATAACTTGTTTCATTAAATCAAATAATTCATCTAAATGTGACTTGGTTTTACTTTGGCAATGCACAGCTTTCTTCAAATATTGCAAGAGTTATTGCTAATACAGTACAGGTTTATTATTATTATTTTAAGTAGCACTTAAAATTTTTTGAAGTCTCCAGAGGTTTTGT